CGAAAATCAGAAAAAGGTGATCTTTTTGAGTGGCTTTTATTTTGTGAAGTACGGTAATGCTAAAAATACCCGTTTTGCAATCTTTCATAATAAAACAATCTGTACTTCCTAACGTGCAGCTAGCAGCCTAAATTTACCATGGGCTCCACAATTACACCAAAATGCACACTCGTACAATTGTGCAGTATCGCATCCAATGTAAATTGTCACAAATGTTTGGTAACACTATTAACACGTTTACATTAAGCATCAGTGGCTGTCTTGACGATTCAAAGTGAAACTCACTTTTGTGAATATAAGAATACCATCCAGATCATCATCCAGCGTACACAATGACCGCTTCGCAACCAATAGAGTGCAAGGCCGCCGTTTGTTGGGCCGCTAAGGAGAATTTTGTGCTGGAAGATGTGATTGTGGCACCTCCGCGCACCGGCGAGGTGCGCATAAAGATCCTGGCTACAGGCGTATGCCACACTGACGAGTACACGCGGTCGGGAGCCGACGCGGAGGGTTTATTTCCTGTCATCATGGGCCACGAAGGCGCTGGTATCGTCGAGAGCGTGGGACCCAATGTGACCAGCGTTAAAGTAGGCGACCATGTCGTGCCATGCTATACACCACAGTGTCGCAACTGCAAGTTCTGCAAGTCCAGCAAAACGAACTTATGCTCCGTCATCCGTAACACCCAGGGAAAAGGATTAATGCCCGACGGCACATCACGCTTCACGTGCAAGCGCAACGGAGAGATGATTTTTCACTTTATGGGTACGTCCACTTTCTCAGAATACACGGTACTACCTGAGATCTCAGTCGCCAAGATTGACATCTCGGCCCCTTTGGATAAAGTGTGTCTGCTCGGCTGCGGTATCACCACTGGCTACGGCGCTGTTATCAACAATATGAAGGTAGAAAATAGATCTACTGTGGCTGTGTTTGGTCTCGGTGCCGTGGGTCTTGCTGTCGTCATGGGAGCCAAGGCTGCGGGCGCAAGGAAAATTATTGCTATTGATATTAATCCTAAAAAATTCCCTATTGCTAAAGATTTTGGTGCCACTCAGTGCGTAAACCCTAAAGATTATGGCGATCGCCCGATCCAAGATGTGTTAATTGAGATGACAGAGGAAGATGGTTATGGTGGACTGGATTATACATTCGAGTGTATTGGCCAACCTGAGACGATGCGTGCTGCGCTTGAGTGCTGTCACAAAGGTTGGGGTCAGTCGTGTATTATTGGCGTTGCAGCTTCTGGTGTAGAGCTAGCTACTCGCCCGTTCCAGCTCGTGACAGGCCGTCGTTGGGCAGGTAGTGCCTTTGGTGGCTTCAAAAGCCGTGACGGTGTACCTGAGTTGGTGAACAAGTACATGAAGAACGAGATTAAATTAGACGAGTTCATAACCCACAAATTTGACCTCTCGCAGATTAATGATGCGTTTCATGCTATGAACGAGGGTGATGTAAGTATTATCATTGAGGTGAATTATTCTGTTAGTCTTGACTTACTTTCAATTTCATTTCAGTGCATTCGTGCTATCGTCTACTTCAACGGTGTGCCCCAATAAAGATTATGCGTGTAGGTACTACTGAGAAAGAGAAGTCGTTAGAGAAGCTGGGTACTGCTTTTTGCTGAATAAATTTATCGGGATCACCCGTCGTTAACTTCAACTTTCTTCATATCGTCATGTTCGGTGAAGTTCAAAGTATACTCGTGCACCAGATTTGTCGCGCGATGAAACTTGAAAATGCGTATACATCACCGCATTTATCATAAGGCCCTAAAAACTGGAGTATTTTGCACCATAATTTAAAAAAGCTATAATTTTTTTACTTGATGATGATTATGAACTTATTTTATAGATAAAAACGTAATTAAAAAGAAAAAAGAAAATGTTAGAGGATGTATACCTATGATAAAAGATAAGGTCCTTGTTATAAACTTTAGATATTTATGCATAAGTTTTGCACAAAGATTTGTTTCGTAATTCTTACTACCAGCGTATTAATCTTATGTATGCCATTCATTCCTCCTCCAGGATCCATTCTAGATTTCGCCAAGCTAACTCCAGGCCACTCAATTTTTATCATGAGCGTCAAAGCCCAGCCCGGTGACAAAGTCGTGCTCGCATACAGCGGCGGTTTGGACACTTCTGTCATTCTAAAGTGGCTTACTAACAAGGGCTTTGAGGTCATTTGCTACTGCGCTAACGTGGGCCAGCACGGGGAGGACTACGACAAGGTTCGTGCCAAGGCTATATCCCTTGGCGCCAAGAAGGTCTACATCGAAGACCTTCGCGAGGACTTCGTGGAGAATTACATCTTTGAGGCTGTAAAATCCAACGCTATTTACGAGTCCCGCTACCTACTTGGCACGTCGTTGGCTCGCCCTGTGATTGCCAAGAAGCAAGTCGAGATCGCTCAGGCCGAGGGCGCCAGGTATGTGGCCCACGGTGCCACTGGTAAGGGTAACGACCAGGTCCGTTTCGAACTGTGCGCTCAGGCCTTGGATGCACAGCTCAAAACCATTGCCCCTTGGCGTGACACAGAGTTTATCGAGATGTTTAAGGGCCGTGCTGATTTGATCCAGTATGCTAAGGAGCAAAATATCCCCATTGACGCCACCCCGAAAGCTCCTTACAGCGTGGACGAGAACCTGTACCATACGTCGTATGAGGCTGGCATGCTCGAGGACCCTATGACCGCTCCAATGGTCGAGATGTTTAAGATGACGGTAGACCCAAAAAATGCCCCTGACTCTGCTGAGCAGATTCAAGTCCGCTTCAAAAAGGGTGTTCCTGTGGGGGTGACCAACCTCACGGCCAATACTCCCGAGATCACGGGTGCATTAAATCTGTTCCTCGAGCTCAACAAGCTAGCTGGAAAGCATGGTATTGGTCGCATTGACATCGTCGAGAACCGCTTTGTTGGCATTAAGTCACGCGGATGCTACGAAACTCCTGGAGGTACGATCCTTCGTCACGCACATCTTGACCTTGAGGTAAGTTCACTGTTTTGTTTGTCGGATCAGTAAGCTGATACTGACTTTGCATCACATTTTCTACAGGGTCTTTGTATGGACAGAGAGGTTATGAAGGTGCGCGACTCGTTGTCCGCCAAATTTGCTGAATTTTGCTACAATGGCTTTTGGTTTTCCCCTGAGATGGACTTTGTACGTCACGCGGTTGATTTTTCGCAGCAAAATGTGACGGGCCTGGTTAATTTAGAGCTTTATAAAGGCAACGTAACCGTGATCGGTCGCTTTTCAGACGAGGCTCTGTATAGCGCTGACCTGGCTTCAATGGACCAGGAGGGGGGTGGTGCCAGCTTCGACTACAACCCGGCTGATGCTCAGGGATTCATTCGCATTAATGCAACTCGTCTTAAGGCTTGGCGGTGCCGCCCTCGGCTTAACAAATAATCTCACTTGGGCGATCAAGCATCGACATTTCTGGTTACATGAAGTGAATTTAGGAGATTTGCTGAAAAAAAGATCTACATCGAACAATCGAGAGAGTTGACGCATTTATTCTTCCTTCTGCGCTCGTCGTGTGGTTATAGCGAGCCTCTCGAAATTGCCTCATAAAAAAAAATTTGGACTCAGTAGCCATTCGAAATTTATAACCAAAATTTGAAAGAGTGGATAAGTAATGATGTTGTATTCTACAAATTTCACCTAACGCATAGCGTGATGCGACACCATACTATTTCGACAGGGGGTGTGAAAATACACCAGGGCTTCAATTTTTCGAAAGCAAACCTTTGATAAACGCGACAAAAGCATCTTTTCAATTTATGAAACGAAACGGAATGCTGCGCCTTATTTGCAGCCAGATTTTTCCGAATTCTACCACAATGAGAAGATAACCCGCTTCCATGTAGAAAAGAAGCGTCAAGTGCATCATAAACTTGAGTCAAAGCATTCAAATATTGGAATTAATCGTATGCCTTCTTATGCAAAAGAAGCAAACAGGTACGCAGTCAATATTCAATCTTATTTTCAAGCAGTAGAATTAATACTATGAAGGAAGCATGTGTTCCTCCGTAGAGAGGCATGGGCACAATGAACCATTACAAGCTTATTGGTAATGATAACGTTCAGAACTAGCCATTTTCTCGCATTGTAGAAGATAGACTGTCCTAGGTTAGTGGTTTTTATTGTGCAAACAAAGTATCGAATAGACTCATTCTATATACTAAGCATGTTCATGAGCTTCCTTATTCAAAAGTTTTCGACATCTTGTAGAGCTTGTCTCTGCAGCGATTTGAAGTAGTAAAGCAAGTCGTGACACTAATTCATGCGCTTCTTGATAATTTGTGATGACACCACCCACGGACGCAATGCTGGTCTGCAAACTCCCCTCCTCACTCTGGATACTTTGTTCTTCGATAACGAGTTTGTCAATGTAGTTTACCGAACGTTGCAAATGCTGAATTAGTTTGAGTGAGTAAGTATTCATCTTCTTTTGCAAATCTTTTTTTGTTCCGATCGTTGCAAATGGTTTCGGCTGATCTTGTGAATCCTCGCCAGGTCGAGTAATACTCGTCTGACCGATCTCACCTGTTTGAAGACAAAACGTTACTCGGTCTGCCAATTTTGGTTTGCGACAATTTTTTTCACTTTCTCCATCTCCGCCCTCGGTATCAAGCACCAAAAATCGCCTAACACGCTTGTGCTCACGAATTTTCGGGCCTTCTAAATAGGCAACAATTCCACTTTCCGGATGAAGTGAGCGCTTAAATTGAGTACATATCGAAGCAGAACTCCTTGTGGCCGAACTGCTTCTTTGACAGAATGGACTCCCAGTCAGTGTCTTCATACGGTCCTTTCGCCCATTAAACTCTTTCAGTGCTCGCCGAACGGTGCTGATAGGATCTTTTAGGCCGAATGTTCTCACCTTTTCTACTGGTAAAGCACTCAAATCGCCGATAGTTTTTATCTTGTAAAACGAAAAGAACGGTCGAAAACTCAGCGGAAAATGCCTATAGAGCAACGCGATTCCTTCGCTGCACCCAACAAGGTCTGGATAAATGCATCGCAATGATTTCAAACTTAAACGCTGTGGAAATCCAGCATCTAGACTTGGCGGAGCCGATTGGGATTTGACGTGCGCTTTCGGTTCGTCTGTGGTGTGTTCCTTATCATCCTTCCTCTTAATGATTTTGGCTTGTTGTGGAGTAACAGGAGCAGCATCTACCAAAGTTACTGGATTAGAATCAGCAGGATCGCGTTTTGATATTCTCGCAATCTCGCCGCTTACAGTAGACGGTAGGGAGGTGCTGGATTCATATGATGCTGACACTAATATACCAACATCTGCAATCGGTTGATCAGCATCTAATGCATCGCTTGAAATCGCTAAAGTGTCAGTGCTGGCGGTCTCGGAAACGAAAAGTCCAGGTACTTCAAGAGAATGGTGTAAATCTAGCAACAGCGAGGCAGTTTGAAGACTTTCAACAAAAAATTGCCTTGCCGAACGCTTAGAAATGATGACAAGCTCGTCAAGTATACTTTTATGTGCGCGTTCGCCGTCATCAAAAACAAAATTGCAAGCTACGTGAAGTGTATTTTCACTAAATCGTATTATGGCATTTAGCCCTTCCGCATGCTGCAAAGCGCTGGCTTCGACACTCTTTAAAAGTTTTCTTATCACAATACTCAAATTTGCGAAAATGAACCTTGTTCTTTCGCAGTCGACATTGTCTGGGTCGTCCACATAGATTGCAAACTCGACCAGCAAATTTAGTACAAGGTACGGCAGCGTGTTGTACTTCGCCGTGAAATCAAGTTGGATCTTGTTACTTTTGTCATATTTCCATGTGTCCAGCACTGTTGCGCATTGAACGTATATTTTCTTCAGATATTCCATGCGCTTAGTGATATGATCAAACAGTTTACTCCTTGGGTGAAGCATCACCGTACGTAAGCTTGTTGAGGACGGCAGATTCGACACGAGCGGAGCTAGCAATTGCAGTTGCCATTCCAGCCCAAAACCTACAGATGCTCCAGCAATCAGAGCCGCTTGATTCTTATCATTGATATTGACCTGATTAGTGTAAGCATTTTCATCGCGCATATCAGCAAAACTGGATCTTATATTCAGTAAGCCAAACACAAAGTCGATTGACATCCGAACAAACCGCAAACCGTGGTTTGACAGTGATCCATCAGTCGTACAAACTACATGATTTCGTTTGCAGATTCCCCTCCATGTAGTAATCAGTAGGTCATTTACTTGCTCTTGACTTTTGATACCGTAGCAATCATCTGCTATTTTTATCAGAGTTTGGATTGCACCAAAAATGTCTTCGAGCATAAAGGCGATAACAGTGATTCCTGTTGTGATGCGAAAGTTGCTACATTTTAAATCGTCTACAGAGCACGATTCGTTGACATCGGACTTCCTGCTTACGACGAAGACTGACTGCTTCCTATCGGAGCCATCCATAGATTCTTCTATCGTGGTACAACTACTGTGTTGACTTGGAATAGAATTGTGCGTACTTTTGCTTGGCATTTGTTCCTCATCTTCCCACATTTGCATAGTAAATTTGACAAATCGATGGACCTCAGCTGTCAATGCATTATCGTTAGCTTGCATGTGCCTAGTCATCAATGTCACCAAGGGGCTCATGACCAATTCACTAAACCAGAACTTCCACTCCGGAGCATTCTGCCATTGTCCGTCGTTTTGTCCCTGGGTTTTGCAATAGAAATTAAAATAAACAACAGCAACTTTCACAATCTTTTGCCATGAAGTAAAAGCTGCACCGAGGACATTCAGGAGTACCTCTTGCTCCAAGCACAACTTAATCGGCCACATCAGTAAGCTCACTACAGCTTTGTTAAACAGCCAATTCTGGCACTCATGAATAATGTCGATGATATCACCCCACGCTTGCATTGACATTAGTCGAACTGCTGCATCTTCGTTTTCCATACACTTTTCTGGAACATACAGTATCTGGTTCAATTTTCCAGGTTCACAGGTGAATCGCGACTTCAGTATTACCAGCACCAACTTCCACAAGTGAATGGCATCTCTCAGTCGATTGCGCTCCGTATGCGATTTCATAATGGGTAGAAAATATTCCATTGCGCAATTTTGCACCATCGTTAACGTCTCGTGTGACCAGTTTGTCCGATGTTTACAAGCTTCCTCCAGTACGAGTCGTGCCTGAGTTCGCGTAGCTACTTCGCTACTGGACAGCCGACTCGCTATTGGTCTCATGTATACGCGAAAATATGTTTCGTTAGCTCCCAACGGCTCTGGATACTTGACTAGAAGCAAAAGAAGCCCCTTCAGCGCTTGCACTTCAATTTCTCGCGAGTTAAATGGATTGACTACAGCGTGCACTAGACCTTCAATAGTCTGCGATAGACAATTGTGTCTTTCTACAGGAAAATTTTGCTGCGTAAGACCCCACACACACAACTTGTATGTTCGCAAGTCTTGCGTGGAAAACAGTAAACCCAGTAACGCACTGAGAAAGAAGATCACATCATCGTCCTTGAAGACTTCGTTCAAACTGCGATGATGCAATAGATAAGAAAGGCAGCGTAGTGTAGCGTGTTGGATGTCACTGAGAACGTTGTGTTGTAGGTCGAAGCGCATCTCGTGTAGTAGCACTGGAACATGTCGTTGCATTTCCCTGACGGAGGCTTCAGTATCTTCCAAACGCATTAGCTCCTCAAGATGCAGATATGCGTCAAGTCGAGTCTCAAGACTACGAGACTGTGGAAATTCGTGCTCTATGAGCATCGCCAATGCTCGCGCGATTTGCAACTCTGCCGCTTCCATTTGGCTGTTGCTGTCTGCAAATGTAACGCTATGTAAAGTTACCTAAAATAATTGCATTTCTAAATTAGTAGCATGGTTAATAAAGACGACAAGCAGCCCACGGATGAGGCGACGGACTTCGGGTCCAAGCAGTTAAAAGAGGTATCCCAGCAAGCTCGTGTTGCTGATGAAGGGCTTAATCATCATGCACGCAATACTTTTCGTATCGAAGTCGACTACATCAAGGAACTAACGAAATCATCGCGTCAAGCGATCGACGAGATGACTCAGTGGGTGGGAGGAGCCTCCAAAACACTTACGTCTCCCATCGTGGAGATTTTTAAGCGCGCAGATGGTGAAGAAGGTACTAGGTTGCGGAAATATTATGGTGTGGCGCGCAGGATCGTCAATGCGCAGTTCTACGCAACTCAGATGCAGCTGCAGGAGTCAAAGAGAATTGCGCAGGATCAGCTGGTACCTTTGAAGGGCGTGGCGGTCGCTTTTCAAGAACGTAAGTGTTGCGATTATTTGTAATAGTAAATTAAGGTAGTACCGATTGTTTGTGCTTATTATCTTCACGTGGACAGGTCTGATAAAGGTAAACGAGTTACGACGTGAACAACCAGCGATGACGGCAGCTAGTCTCGTGATTGCTGTGGCTTTTCCATCTCTCATACTCCGTACGTGATGAGGCGCTATAGAATAAAACATGGAGTTATAGGGTCCGTGTGGTTCTGTTTTGCAGGTGGCAAGTGGGCGGCTATACGAAACTCGGTTGTGGCGGTAGGAGTCAGCGCTGCCGTAAGTTATGGGTCGGAAAAGCGGGCAGATAAAAAGGGGAAATAGACTCAGTACAAAAGGAGGAGGAATGTCGGGAAGTCGTTGAAAATTCAAAAAGGTTGCCAATTTTATTTTTGCGATTTTATCCCTTGTAAATCATACAAATGTATAGTTGTTGTAAGGCACGACGTTTGGCACGTATGATTGATACACTAGCGCTGTGTGGTATTGTGGAGGCAGCTAAAAGTGTCTATGATATCGACTCTATACACAGAAAGCAAAAGCTTTGGTGCCCCTCACATCGACGATGTCAGCTTGCATTCCGGCAACAGTACACTTCCTGCTCAAAATGGCTTCCACTAGATTCGTCTAGGCTTAGAATTGCTGAATGAGCAAAGTTAAGTTGGCAGCAACACAGAAAAGGCTGCGATGCCTCAAACACTACCGTTGGGTTTTTGGAACTAGAGATCTGACTTACCAATGTGGAGCATCCAACTAATTTGAGCACACTGTCTAAAATTACAACATAAAGCAGGCGAACTTGATTGCTTGCATATTACAATTTCTAACTTAAATTAGTCGTCAAGAAGACAAATGCCGTCAATAGTAGCATCAAAAGCAGCAGACTTGATTTTTGCGACAGCTACCAGCAGCGGCTTTTCACCAGCATCAAACGTCACAGTAGCTGCACGTCGGTGACGCGATTGCAAAAGCTAGTCTCACAAAAGCAGCAACCAGGATAGTTGCTAGGATTTGATTTCAACAAATTTAGAAACTTACCAATAAAAAAGGACCTGGTTATGCGTCCAGAGCTGACGTTATCCTTGTAAGTAACACAGATAGAAGACAAAGCTATTCTTTGCAAGGTAACACGGCGAAATCGTCGCAGTTGGTAGCACATTTCGTTAGTAGTATTAGTATTAGGTTTATCCTCAGTGCAAGCGAAAGATTGAGATGGCCGTGGACTTGGCTCTGCTTCAACAGAAAATCAAGGCGAGACACTCAAGTCTCCTAACTAAGGATTTGCGCGTGACAATGGATACTATCGTGCAGTCCCTTGATAAATGAGACAGTACCAACTTAGAAGTACGCAGCTTTACGTGAGTTGTCGCACGGTACTACGTGCGGTGAGTGTGTGTCTAATATTTTTTTGGACTTCGTGAGAGTGTTTCTGACTCTTATACTGGAATATCGGTTGAGCATTTTCAGATGCCGC